CTGTCTCGCTCCCCTGCAGTCCCTGCCCCAGGGATGTCGGGGCCTTTGCATCTCCTACAACGAAATCTGTTCACAATCCCCGGATTCCGGCGCCGGCGTGGGTAGAAATAGCCGGGGCTTAGGGATGGGGTCGACCTAGCGGAGGGCTTCCCGGGGAGACAGAGCAGGCCCGGTTGCTTCCGGAGGCCGCCGGGGGTGGGGCCCTTGCGGGCTCCGGGAGCCTGGCGCGCCGGTGTACTGCCGAGCGCGCCCCCCATTCTGCCGCATGTGCCTCTGCCTGCTTTTCAGATTCTGAAGATGTTTCCTCCAGCGACCGAAAAATGTCCAAATCGGCTTTAAACCAGACCAAGAAACGGAAGAAGCGGCGACACAGGTAAGGCCCCTGCAGTGCTTTCCGTCTCCTTCCTGTTCACCCATCCCTTGCCGTCCTCTGTTCGGGGGTCGGGCCACTTGGACCTAATTTCACCGACTCCAGATCTGATATCCGCGGCTATGTCAGGACAGGGAGACCAAGCGTTGTCTGGGGACACCCGCCTGGGGCCCTGGCGTCTGGCGGGGCCGGGTGAGGATCATGAGCGGCCGCCGGGGAAGCGGCACCATTTGAGGCTTTTTCCTGCTTCTTCGGGAAAAAGGAAAAGGCCCCAACTAGGGCTAAACCCGAGACATAGAGGGGCTGGCGGCCTCCAGATGCGATCCCTGCATCTGCACCGAGAGCCATGCACACCCTGCGGCGGTCAGGTCGGCTCTCTCCAGCCCGAGCCTGTTCCTCCGCCCTCTGCCCCCGGCCCATTCCTCTGCCGCGGTTCCTGGCAGCGTCGCCGACCCTCTATATCTTTTTGCTCCCACCGTTAGCAAAATTTCGAGAATAATATCTGCATTAATGGAAATTATTCTTTTGGCTTCTGCTCTTTTGTGATCTGTAAGCCTCAGTTTCCTGGTCTGTAAAATGGGAAAGGAGGAGTGTGTGGACTGGATGACCCCACCAGCCCTAGCTGTGGGATGCATTGCGATATAGACTGAAGACAGGTCTTTTTGTTTGTGGGATCTTTTTGTTTGTTTGTTTGTTTTCCCTTTAAGTGTCTTTAAGTAGACATTACTTGCACAAAGTTAAAAATTCAATAGGTGCCAAGAGGTATATCCTGAAAAGTAATTCCCCTCCTCCAAACTTGCATTCTCCTCCGAAGCCGCATCACTGTTACCAATTCCTTGAGTAAATTTATGAGGAGGTTTTCAGGAAATAAAGGAGTGAGAACCAAAAATCAACCCGACTTTCTACCAGTGCTGCTTGTAGGCACTCTCCCTGCGCTCACCCTCGGTCTGTTTCCCCAAATCTCTCTCTCTGCCCGAGTATAGGTGGGGCGCCCGAAGCGCCCGGCTGGCTCTCTGGACATTTCTCCCTGGGGTGCTCTCCGGCCCCCCTGCCCCACTTCATCCGCTTCTCAATTTGTTCTCAGCCTCTTCGCACCCTTGTCTCTGGGTTGCTTTGCTGTGTATCTCTCATCCCCAACCCCCGAAAACTACACTAGTGACCCCCACGTTTTAAAACCACCCTTCCTGACCTCTCAGTCCCCATCAGGTTCGAGCTTGAGTGAGGGTGAACTTTGATTTGGTTTCTCGGTGACCTTCGCTTGTTCCCTAAAGGCAACTGTTTGTTTTGTTTTATTTTAAATGGAAATGTTGTTTTTAGTCCTGATCCTGGGTCGTTTTTTACATTCATCCCTCCAACAAATATTCATTAAAACACCTTTTGCTGGTCCCAGAGAGGGGGTAATCCTGTCAGCCTCTGGGGCAGGGACAGGGACTGGGAGGGCAGATCAGAGTCCCACTGACCGGCTTCTGTGCTTCTGCCTGAATTAGGGTAGGGGAGGGATTCCCATATCAAGGAGAGCCCTGGACAAAGCACCCCCAGGAACACTGTGTTTCTGCATCGGGGCATCTCCTTGTGCGGCACTGGGAGCTGGCTGACCCACAGCCCAAAGGCCATGCTTAAGATCCCTGATCCTCTATCCTCACCCAATGCCTTCTCCACCGGGGCAACTGTGCTTTTGAGGGTTCCCCGGGAGACAGAACGACAACTAGCCACCTGCCCTCAGTTCCTGGTTATTTCTGGTGCATGAAGGGAACAGATAATTGGAGAGAGGAGAATGGCTGATGCAGTTTTTAGTTAGTTAAAACAACAACAACAACAACAAAAAGTGGTTTTCTGAGCTTCTCTCATTTGAGGATTTCAGGTAAAAGACCCTGGAATCTGGTGATGCGAGATGAGCATCTCTTTATCTCCCAGAAAGCTACCAGGTACTTAGCCTTAGCTGGGGTTGGAGAGGAGAGTGGGGATGGAGCTGCAGCCTTTGGAGTCCCTTGGGTTTTGCTCTTCTCTACCTGGAAAGCTCAGCTTCGGTAGACAAGATACGATGGGACTATGAAGGGCTGGGGTTCTGTGTAGAACCCGGAGCCAGAGCTGGGTTTGGGTCACATTTTGGAGGCGCAGTGTGGCTCCCTGGAGAGCACGTCAGCAGAAACACTTGCATTAGCTCTGAGGTGGGAATGAGGGGAAATGTGGGGGATTTGAAGTACTGTTCCATTTCTTTCTTTCTTTCTTTTTTGTCTTGTTTTGTTTTTCAAATGAGAGCTCTCCCAAGCAGAGGCTGGCACTTGAAATGTCCTGAGTGACCTGCCATCATCTCTCCTCTTTGCCTCTGGACACACCACAATAGCCGTGTGCCTCAGTTTTCCTAGTTTCGAAAAAGACTTGCATGTTTTGATTGTTTATATTGACTGTCTGTTCAGGGGCCCTTCAGTAAGTGGCAGGAAAGAAATAGAAAGCAGCAGATCTTCAAAATTTGAGAGAATTAACTCTGTATTTGTAAGCATTCCGTTGGGGGAGAACAGGAGAAACGATCTAGAATTAAACCAGTCATTTTCGATAAAAAGCAGAATCTTTCCTCCCCACACACCCCCTACATCATCCTCCAAGATGTTAAAGCCGATGCCGGCACAGAGAGGGTATGGTTCTTACACCTGTACTTTTCCCTTGTGTGGGGTGAGGACGGGGCCGGAGAGTAGTGAGGGATCCCAACCCCAGGCTGGTCCCAGGGTTCAAATCCCAGCAGCTCAAGCAAGGAATGTACCATTTTACAAGTTGAGTTTGTGAGGTCTGGACTCTGTTGTTCCCCAGTTTGTTGATAAGGGTGCAGGACCACAGTCACCTAGAACTTAGTGAAATTCAGGTCTGAAAAGAGAATTTATATCTGTAAGTGGGAATGTAGTGTGTTTATTCAAGAAAAGGGGACTATGAACCTCCTAATATTGGAGGCGAAAAATGTCACGTATTGGACCAGCATATCCATTTGCTAGGGTGAGAGGATGTAGCCTTTCCTGGATCCTTAAAGCAGTTTATGACTCAAAATAGGTCAATGTGAACTGCTCTGTGGAGGGTGGGGAGCTGTGTAGGGAGGCTCTCTCAGGGTGACCTGAATGGCGCTCCCCTGAATGGGGCTCCTGCTGGGTGAGTGGCTGAGCCTGGGTGTGGGATGCTGAGGAGATAGCCCTTGCCTTCTGAGTGCAGGAAGGGACAGAGCACCCCTTCCCCCTCTCCCCGCCCCCAAGACTCTGAGGGCAGCTCTAAGGAGCCAGTAGGTCTGGGCAGGTGAGGGCGGGGCACTGGGGTGGGTTGAGGGGGTGGGAGAGTCTATCCATTCCATCCACAGTAGGAACCGTGGGGTTGCTGCTGCATTGACCTTCTGGTGAATCTTTGAACTTTGAGTACAATTTTAAAGATCAGCTCTACTGTCTGCGAGAGGAGCCGGGGATGCCAGTCCCAGTGGGGCTGAGTGGTGAACCCTTCACTCTGTGCCTGGGAGGAGAAAGACAGGCTTTCTGCAGTTCCCTGAAGTTTCTGTCTTAACACCCTTTCCCCCAGAGAAGCACTTCCAGGAAGATTCCCAGTATGAAGTGTCACCGAGGGCTGAAATAAGACCCTCAGCCACCAGGAGGGTAGTGTGGGTCCTCAGACTTCAATGAAGAAGAGTCCAGAGGGTTAAACTGTGTGTGTGTGTGTGTGTGTGTGTGTGTGTGTGTGTGTGTGTGTGTGTGTATGTGTATGTGTTATGTGTGTGTACGAGAGATAGAGAGAGAGGTTGCCTCAGTTTGTGCTGGCCCAGCCTGGGTTTGGGGTCTGTCCAGCAGCTGTAGTGGGGGCTGTCCTACCCTCTGGGACAGGCTTCTTTCCATTTTCAGGCTCTTGACTGTCTGGTTTTGCTTCCCTCAGGACAATCTTTACGTCCTACCAGCTAGAGGAGCTGGAGAAGGCGTTCAACGAGGCCCACTACCCAGACGTCTATGCCCGGGAGATGCTGGCCATGAAAACGGAGCTGCCCGAAGACAGGATACAGGTAACAGCCTTGAGTCCCTCCCTCCCACACTATCCTCACTCCTGGGGACATTGACTACCCCAGGCTCCCCAGTGCCCGTCTCCCACCCCGCTGCTATGCCCGTGCACTTGCCTGTGGTCACGTCCTCATGAAGAACAGCTCATTGATGCACACAGGTATTTGCTGAATACCTACATGTGAGGTGGGCACTGCTGGGGGACAGGAGATTTAGTAGATGTGGCCTGGCCTGCTGCTGTAGACTGTAGGCTTCCTGACAAGTGTATTAGACAGATCATGAGGGCGCCTGTGGTGGGAGAAGGAGTTCTGAGCAGGGTCTCTGTTGCGGCAGGTGTCTCCCAGGTAGTAAATGTCTGCTTGAAAGCCTGAGGTGGCCCCAGGCATCGCTGAGTTCCTGGGGATGGGGGAAAGTGGCTTCCAGCCCTGACCCCGGACTGTTTCCCTTCCCTCCACTCCCCACCCCAGGAGGAAGAGGGTGCCCCTCCCTTCCTACCTACTCTCCACCGCTTTCATTCAGCTGAGGCTCCTTCCTTCTCACAGCCAAATAGCAGGCCCTGCCCAGAGCTTCTGCTCCTTGATGTCTCCCAAGTCTGGCCCAGGAGGTGCTCATGAGCTCCTCTCCCTCACTGGGGAGTTCCGTGGTATAACCAGTCCTACCCTGGACTGGGCTGTCCTTCCTCAGCTAGGCGAGGCACAGGGTCTCCTTTTGGCAGTGGCAGGATCCTTCCAAGTCCAGGGCACCCCTAGCTGGGCAGGAGTGGGCTGCTGAATCATTTCTCCGGGAAAAGATGAAGTCTGATGATTTTCCAAATAAAGCCTCCATGAGAAGGATGCAGTGATGGTGTGCAGGAAAGTTTCCAGAAGATTTGGGGTTGCCTTAGCGGGATCAAGATCTTGAATCAAAGCTGCTCCTATCTGGACACCTGAGGGATCCAGGGCAGTTGACTACTCACGCTGGGAAAGGGGAGGGAAGGTCCCATCTTCCCAAAACCCCTTCTGCTCCGAATCTCCTCCTCCTCTGTGTCGCCAGGTGTGATGTGTGTTGAGGGGTAGGGGGCAGGCCCAGAGAAGGAACCAAATAAGGTGTGTGGGTTCTTTGTGCTCTCTCACTGGAGAACCAGAGAATGGAAAATGAGGCATGAGCTGCTCTTCCAGAAGAGCCTTCCTCGCCCCTGGAAGTCTATTGGGAATTTCAGCCAATGGCTTTAGACAGTGACACTAACAATAAGCTCAATTATTCATAAGCAGATTATCTGTTTGGTGCATTATCCATGGTGGCCTGGATCCATCACCCCCACCCAACTGGGTTCCAGTGGGGAAAGGCTGGGTGTTTCTCAGTCGCGCGCG